CGAGCGGCGCGGGAGGAGAAAGGGGCGGGGAGAAGCAGGTAGGCGAGCTTGTTGGGGAGGGGAGGGAGCGGAGAGGTCACGTGACGGCCCAGCCGCTGCCGTTGCAACGTGGGAGTGCGCGGGGGGGGGGCTTGACTGAGGGGAAAAAAAAAAATCTCCCCGGTGATGTTTGGAGCGCGGGAACCCGGTTGTTGAACTACCGAGTCTCTCCGAACCCAGTTTTTTGTTTTTTTTTTGCTCGTACCCCTAAAAAAGAAGAAGCGTGGATTCCATAAATTTAGCATGGGCAGCGAATGGCGCACAAGCTATATTTGTGCTAGTTAGGAGACCGTGGGCTTAAATGGTTATCTCTAGCAACTGGATTAGCCCAATGTCCTTTCAAGGGGAAAAAACGGGTTGCTTGGACAGCCCTTCATTCCCGGGTTTGCGTGATGAAGCAGAAACGCGGGTCAGGTTTGCACAACCCGCTAAACTTAAAATGCTCAGCCGGTTTGTACCTGGGTGGGGGCCCTACACTGGTGTTCAGGTGAAAGGAGCTTGTCAGATTCTGCTGGAAAAATAATAAAAAAGGGCTGGGTAGGTGGTGATGTAATATTTGAATTTACAAGATAAACACAAGGCAGCTTCTTTCAGCATACTGGAGCTGTCGGCTATTCTTATGGCTTATTCTGGGCAAATTCAGCCAAAGGTGGTTTATTTAACACAAGTTAAACAAGTTAATTTGCCTAATCAACATATTTATATTAAGAGGAAATTATAATTAACATTTAAGGGAGGTAAGAAATGAAGGATACGTCCTGGGAGTTGCAAAAGTAGAATCAAGCATTTTGGAAGAGTGAGTGAGTAGTGTACATTACATGGGTGATATAATGGTGCCAAGTGATAGCAGCATCAGGAAGAAGGAATATGAAAAGTGTCAGGGCCTAAAGGAAAAACTGGATAGGATGTGAAAAATCAAGACCAAAATGGTCCCAGAAGAGTAGGAGCACTTGGGGCTGTGATTCATAATCCGAACAAGTGTCTGCAACAGTTCCCAGGACCGACATCAGAGCTCTCTGTTAAAAAGAGTGCAGTTAAGGAGCAGCTATTTTCCACACAGCAACAATCCTCTGAGGTGAGTTGAGAGAGAATAATTGGCCCAAAGTCACCAAGAGGTCTAGAACTTGCAGATTCTAAGTTTCTAAGGCAGCATCTTCACCACTACATCAAACTGGCTCCCAACTGACCAAAAACCATATTCTGTTTGCTTCAACCAATGGCCAAATAACACGTACCCCTTCCTTAATGTTGGATTTTGAAGCTGTTTTGCATTGATACTCAGATAATATAAACTGTTCCATTGGAATAAAAATATTCCATGACCATCCTTCCCGGAATGAAAATTTTGTTTGGAAATATATCTGTAATGTTCAATTTCTAAAGGGTAGTTATATTAATCTTTTGCAAGAAAACCATCTTGTGGCACTTTAAATACTAATTTGTAAGAACATCTTTTGTAGATGCATAATAATCAGCCAGGCACATTGGCTTTACTTAACCAGCATGCTAACTTTAAAGTGTGATTAATAAACATATATGATTCCACGGTATATTTTCTCCCTCTATATTCACAACTCTTTAAATGAAGCTTTCAGTATTTATCACAAATCTCAGGGCAAAAAGCTACATATTGTGGGGAACTCGTGGCTATCTCTATATTTGATAACTAAGCTTTTATGGGGTTGCAAATCACCTAAGATCCAGCTTAGGTGAAGATTGTGAATTCTACATGGAAATAGTCTTTAGAATAGAAAAATTTGTCAACCAATTTGGAACCACCTGATTTGATCTGTCATCAATTCAGCTTTAGGATTTGCTTTGAAGTCAAATTTTCTTAGAATCAAATCTTTGGATTGGGCTCACTTTATCATGTGCTATGTAAATTCAGAAAGTGGGTTGGATCTAGTTTTAATACATTTTAGAAAGGTATATTGAAACTAAAGGGATTTAAGTAAGCAACATCTTGAGGTGGTGCTTACCATTAGGGTACAAACAAGCTCACTATCTTAGCTTATTGCAGAAAAATTTCAATACTATTTTAGTAACTGCAATAGAGAGACAAAATGGTTTTCTCCCCCCCCCCAAAAAAAAATTTGGTGGTTAATAATAACAGTATGGGTTTCACCACTAGCCAAGACCAATGTTTTTGTTCAAAATGGCAGTGACCACCTTATTTTCTTCTCAAATTCTTTTAATGAAGGGCTGAACATACTAGCTTGGTGGTCTATTTTTGAACAATCATGAAACATTTTTCAACTTTTTTTGAGCAGTTTATTTTGGTTGCATCTCCAGGTGTATTAGGTTTGAAATTCTGAGAACTGAAATCCAATAATCCACAGAGTAGGAGATCGGTTAAAAAAAAAAAAAAACTTCACCTTAAAGAGTAAGCTGTATTCACCCTCAATAGCAGAGCAGAAAACTTACTAAGTCACATCTCATAGCAGACGTAGATTCGGTTTAAATGGAACCTAAGATTGACAAGAGTGGCAATTCACCTGGACTGTATGTAGCCGACTACATCATAACCCTTCTTAAATAGGCTATTTAGTTGCAGAGATAGTAGCAAAGAGAATTTTGTCTCCCATCAATTAACATCTGTGAAGCAGATGGTGAGAGACTAAATGCAGAGCAGATTCTCTTTCTCCCTAATAAGTTCCATCTGTAGTTATACATTGCCATTGATGTCTCCAGAAAAAAACACAGCAGTGGTGTTTAATAATAAATTTATAACCTCCCTCCCTGCTTCTATAAGCACTCACAATAATTGAAGCAAAATCTAGAACGTTATGGTGAAATCAGTATTGTAAAAAAACGGTTAAAAGCTGGTCAGAGAGATGCATCCTTGCCAATTTCCTAAACACAGAGAGAATGGGGGTTAATGTCCTTGATGTTTTGGGGACCATCCTCTTCATTCAACCAGGGGACATTTTCAAAGGGGCCATTATACTTGTCTAAGAAGGTTCACAGCAGAAGTAATTCCCCAGATAGGTTCTATAATGTTTATTGTTTAAATAAACATTAAGTAACAAATTCCTTAAATTGTACCTGGCAGGCTGGCAACCAGCCAACACTCAACCTTTTAGTTCCCCAAAATCATTACACCTTGCACTGGTTAACAACCTGGCCACTGCATTTTTCACTACTGGTAATTTAGAAATCTTCAAGGCTTAACCCCATGAGAAATGGATTACAGTATCAAAGACTTGATCAGGATTTCAATCATATCAAAGTAAGGCTGAATGTATTTTCCTGTTGGTTCATATATCTATTTGTTATGACAATGTTGAGACCTTGGGAGCAATCTACATGTTGATTGTAGATTTGACTTGAATATTCCTCACTTACCTTTCTCACTTAAGTTCTGGGGCTTTAAGACAAAATTTCTGGGTTAGCAACCTGGCAGATAAATTGGATTCCAAAGTAAAACAATCAAGGTGCTGAGAATTTAGGGTTTTGCCTAGGCACTTTCAATAAACCTTGTTAAAAGAAACTCTGAATATTGCTTTGTGCTAAAGTGGTTTAGCAAGGGTTTGACACTACAGTTATGGAGAGCAGAACAACTGGTTAACATTTGGCTTCAGTTAATTTACCCTGAAAACATGCAGAATGAGGCTTCTAGAATTTTTTTTTACAATTCCTTAATAATAGCTGTATTCCATATCATGTGACTGGAACAAAAAAGAGGGAGGGGCCTTAGAATGGAGGAATCATCAACATCCTTTGTCCAACTTCCCCACCCATAGGGTGACGTACAATATACGGTGTATTTTACTTGTACATTTGGAATAATCCAACCCATTTTTTTTTAAAAAAAATGAGCTTTCATTAGTTAGCATATCCTTCTGCATGAAATTTAGTTCCATTGTGTTCACCAGCTTACTAATGAACAGCTGGACAGACTAACAAGCAAATTTCAGAGCCCCTTTACATATTTTCTCCCCCAAATTCTGTTGAGTTGCAAAAAATAATTTTAAAAAAGCAACTGGAAGAAACTGGAACTATTGTAACTGAAGTTGTTAATGCAGTTTGAGTTCATGTTTGGTTAAAATATAGTTGCCTAGTTTGTATTTCAGTGTGTTGTATAAGCCTCGGTTTATCGTTAATTTATGTTTAGAAGGTTGTGTGAACCTGGGTAATTTCCTTAATTCAATAAACCATGGAACTCTTAACCATGAATTAATGTGTTATTCAAACACAAGCCAGAGTATTTTCAAAACATATTATTTTGGTTATTTAATGCAAACGTGTTGACTATGTTATCCCTTCACACATTTGATTCCTTAACCGTAATAATGTAGCTATTGTATGATTAAGCATGACAGTAATTGCTGGTAAGTACTCACAGTAATTTGAAACCATGGCTTTCTTGATGTCCAGTACTACTTCATTCAAAGTAGAATGAAGGCCACCAAGTTCAGATAACACAGCCATGGAAAACCACTTATCAACAGCCATGTGGGGTAATAAGGGCAGAGTGATTCAATGGCATTCTCAATTTCAGGATTCCAAAGAATCTCAGAATAGTGGTTATCCTCTTTTTCTCCCAGATGATTGG